TAATAACCTTATGAGAGAGGAATTAACCCCATTTTACAGATGAGGAAATTCAAGGGCCAGAGAGCTGATTTTTTTTTATGTTCATTGTTACACAAGTATTAAATGGGAGGGTAAATATTGAATTTGACTGACTCCAAAATATTTGTTGAGAACCACTGTGCTAAATCATAACTCCTGAGGTCTTGATCTTTACACATGCTGGTCAAAGAAAACGGAGATACCAATTTTGTTAAAGAGTATTCAGAACTGGACAAGCATATTATTTTGGGGGGCTTCAGTTTCTCATGCTTGAAACCAGAGAGCTGATGCTTTGGGCTGGAAAATTCTTTGTTATAGGGAGGCCATCCAGTGCACTATAGGGCGGTTAGCAGCATCCTGGGCTTCTACACACTAGGTATGTAATTGGAACCCAATGTCGATCTCCTTTAACCTTTCATGCTGGGTTTTAACCACCTAAAATGTCTCCAGACCTTGCCAAAAATCCTCTGGGAGACAAAATTGTCCTGTTTTGAGAACTAATGTACTAGAAGATCTCTAGGTATCTTTTTTGATCTCTAATATTCCACCACTTGAATTGTGGATCCACCTTTAGCCAAGAGGATGAGCTTTTCTCCACTAGGGAGTATCTGCCTAGTGAACGTTTCTCTATCTCCATCTCAGTATAATGCAATTTAAAACGATCTGAAGCATTCCTGGCTCCGTTTGTATAAAATCTCCACTCCCCAGGACTTAAATTTATCATTTAAATGCAAATTGGTAAAAAAAAAAAAAAAGGGGGTAGAAGAAAGTGAAAAGAGATCAGATGTTATCTTATCTTATTAAGTCAGCCTTACATTATGCAATTGATTTAGACTCATTTTAAACTCCAGTCCTATGAGATAGTATTGTTTATTTATTCATTCCCTTTTCTTTACTAAGACTACCATATCAAGAAAATCAGAAAATAGGTTTAATAGGCACTCTTTCATTTGACAGCCTGAAAGAGCCATATGGAAGGTTGGAATCTATTGACAGATTGCAATAAGTGAAATATTCAGCATGGGAAAGAAATTGACAATTTCCTAGATCCATGGTTTTTTGGCTTTCAAGGGCCATACTTAAAATTTGCATCATTGTAAATATCGTCTTTGAGAAAGAATTGCCCTTGATTAGAGAATAGTCCAAAACCAACTATCAGACCTA